ACTGTGGGCAGGTCACTCCCACTCACAGGCTTGGTCCCCTGTTGGGACATTCCATTTATTCCTGTGACTGCAACTCACCGCTGCCAGCACAGGGGTTTGTGCTCATAATCCCAGCTACTAGGGAGGCCGAGGCAGGAGAATCGTGAATTCAAGACCAACTCAGGGCAACACAGTGAGACTGTGTCTCCAAAAACAGAAAAAAGGCCAAGGCCCGCCTGGGCGACATCTTCCGCAGCGTGCTGGACTGCAGAAGCCACAGGCGGGCCATAGCTCTGGCTCCCGTGTCGGTCAGGGACGCACAATGTCCTGAGGCGCTGCAGGGCCGGGGAAGGGAGAACGTGGCACGGGGACCCTGTTGAGGGCACCATCCCCACGGATACACACATAAAACAGAAAGAATGATTGAGCACCTATAGCAGCATGCCAGGCGCAAGCCCGAGGGTGCAGGAGAGAGAGGAGCACAGCCAGTGCCCGTCCTCACAGCTGAACGGGAGTGCAGACATTGAACTAGTGAGCCGAAATGAATGTCCTTGAACTTGTGGGAAGTGCCCCACAGGGTTTGATCTGGTCAGAGAAGTCAGGGAAGGCTCCCTGGAGGAAGTGACAACTGAGCTCTGATGGGTCAGTGGCTCTCCAAGCAGAGAACAGCTCATGCCAAGGTCCAGTGGTAGGTGGGAGCGTGGAAGGACCAAGGGATGGAAGAAGGCCTTGGGGCTGAGGGTGTTGCATAGGTGGGGAGACCCTGCCCACTCCCACAGGCCACCGAACCGTGTGGGAAATTTCCCCCGTGAGTGGGAAATGAGGCCCAAAGATGAGGTGCCCGAGGCTCACGCCGTTCTCCGCAAGTAAGAGCCGCGGTCGTGGGGGCGCATTTCCTTTCTCGCGCAGCAATGTTCTAACCTGCCGGAGCCGCGCGTCCTGCTGGTGTCTCTGAGGCTGGGCCCGTGTGCCGTCCACGGCCTGTGGGGGCCCGGCTGCCAGTCCTTTCTTCCCTGGGGCACGTGAGATGGCAGCCTGTCATCCGAGTTTTTGCACTAGATTTCTGCCATGCGCGTATTCTGATAAGAGAGAAGGTGATGAAAGCTAGCCCCCAAACGATGATTTACAGGCTTCGTTCTCACCCTAACTCTCCAGCGAGCCACTTCTTTGTTTTGCTTTGCTTGCTTTATTTTATTTTATTTTATTTTATTCTTCGATGAGCAAGAAAGATGGGGAGGAAGAGGCAGCACCCCAGAGTGTCCTGACACCACAGTCCTAGCCTGGGCGAGTCCCAGATCATGGACACTCAAGGCTGGCAGCTCAGGGCGGCCCCTGGTTGTGGCCCGGAGCCTTCCCCTGGAGGCCGCCCTCACAGAGCAGCGCCGTCCACAGCGTGTTCCTTTCAGCCTGGGTCTCGGCATCCCGAGTCTCCCCGGTAGCTGGGAGTACGCACACACCACGCCTGGCTGTAGGGTGTGCCTGGCATCGCGGCCTCCCAGGGGGCCTCCATGGGCGGCAGCACGTCCAGGGGAGCTGCAGCTGTGGCTGGGCTGGCGAGCCTCCTGTGCAGGTGCAGCCCCTTCTCTCCCAGCGCCGACTCCCCTGGGAGGTTTACTAGTGACCGTTTGCCCGTTATTGTCTCTCTCTCTCTCTCTCTGGGCCTTCAGATCTCCTGCCGTTTCCACTCCTAGAACAGGGCCTGGGACATAGTAGGCACTCAGTAACGCATAGAGTGAACCATTACGCAGTGACCGAGATTCAGCCGTTCTCAACGTGGAGAAAGGGCCCTCCGGCTTGGTTTCCCCAACTGTGGTTCTGCGCGTGGCGCCCCCGTGCGGCCGCCGCTGACCCCCGCCGTCCGTCCCTCTCTCCGCAGGCCGGGAAGCTGGAGCCGAAGCTGGTGCGGGGC